CTCCCTAGTAGCTGGAACTACAGGCATGTGCCACCAAACCCTGCTAATTTGCGTATTTTTCAGAAGAGACAGGGGTTCACTATGTTGGCCAGGCTGGTTTCAAACTTCTGGCCTCAAGACATCCATCTGTCTTGGCATCCAAAAGTGCTGGAATTATAGGAGTGAACCACTGTGCCAGGCTAAAAAGGTCTATTTTATATTTATTTATTTTGACATGGAGTCTTGCTGTGTCACCCAGGCTGGAGGGCAGTGGCATGATCTTGGGTCACTGCAACCACTGCCTCCTGGGTTGAAATGATTCTCCTGTCTCAGCCTCCCGAATAGCTGGGACTATAGGCATGTGCCATTGCACCTGGCTAATTTTTTTTTTTTTTTTGAGACGGAGTTTCACTCTTGTTACCCAGGCTCGAGTGCAATGGCACGATCTCAGCTCACCGCAACCTCTGCTCCTGAGTTCAGGCAATTCTCCTGCCTCAGCTTCCTGAGTAGCTGGGATTACAGGCACGCGCCACCATGCCCAGCTAATTTTTTGTATTTTTAATTGAGACGGGGTTTCACCATGTTGACCAGGATGGTCTCGATCTCTTGACCTCGTGATCCACCTGCCTCGGCCTCCCAAAGTGCTGGGATTACAGGCTTGAGCCACCGCACCCGGCCGTTAAATTTTTTTCTTTTTTTTGAGATGGAGTTTTTTTGCTCTTGTTACCCAGGCTGGAGTGCAATGGTGCGATCTTGGCTCACCGTAACCTCCGCCTCCTGGGTTCAGGCAATTCTCCTGCCTCAACCTCCTGAGTAGCTGGGATTACAGGCATGTGCCACCATGCCCAGCTAATTTTTTGTATTTTTAGTAGAGACGGGGTTTCACCATGTTGACCAGGATGGTCTCGATCTCTTGACCTTTTGATCCACCCGCCTCGGCCTCCCAAAGTGCTGGGATTACAGGTGTGAGCCAACGCGCCCGGCTGAACCTGGCTAATTTTTGTGTTTTTAGTAGGGACAGGGTTTCGCCGTGTTAGCCAGACTCGTCCCAAGCTTCTGACCTCAGGTGATCCCCTGCCTTAGCCTCCCAAAGTGCTGGGATTACAGGCGTGAATCACTGCAGCCTGCTGGTCTATTTGATTTTTTACAAAAATGTCCAGGCCCTATGCGGAGGCTCACACCTGTAGTTGCAGCACTTTGGGAGGCTGAGGAGGGAGGATTGCTTGAGCCCAGAGTTTGAGACCAGCCTGGGCAACATGATGAAACCCATTCTCTACTAAAAAAAATACAAAAAGTTAACCTGGTACAGTGGCACACACCTATAGTCTACTTGGGAGGCTGAGGTGAAAGGATTGCTTGAACCTGGGAGATGGAGGCTTCAGTGAGTCAAGTTCGAGCCACTGCCCTCCAGCCTGGGTGACAGAGTGAAACTTTGTCTCAAAAAAAAAAAAAAATTATCAAATATAACAGAAAAAGCAAAAAATAGAGACAGAAAGTTGACTGGTGTTTGCTTGTGGCTAGGGGTGGAAACGGGGATTAACACAATGAGCATAAGGGGTCTTATGGGGGATCCATAAGGTATGCTAAATGTTCTAAAACTGACTTATGTTAATGTTGCACCACTCAGTAAATTGTTAAAAATCTATGTGTGGGCTGCGCTCGGCGGCTCCTGCCTGTAACCTCGGCACTTTGGGATGCCAAGGTGGAAGAATCACCTGAGACCAGGAGTTCAAGACCAGCCTGGCCCATTTCTACTAAAAATACAAAATAATTAGACTGGCATAATAGGGCATGCCTGTAATCCCAGCAACTTGGGGCAGGAGAATTGCTTGAACCCAGGAGGCGGAGATTGCAGTGAGATGAGATTGTGCCTCTGCACTCCAGCCTGGGTGACAGATCGAGACTCTGTCTCAAAACAAAACAGGCTGGGCACAGTGGCTCATGCCTGTAATCCTAGCACTTTCGGAGGCTGAGGCAGATGGAACATCTGAGGTCAGGAGTTTATCAGCCTGACTAACATAGTGAACCCTCGTCTCTACTAAAATAAAAAATTAACCAGGTGTGGTGGTGGGCACCTGTAATCTCAGCTACTCAGGAAGCTGAGGCAGGAGAATCACTTGAACCCAGGAGGCAGAGGTTGCGGTGAGCCAAGATCAAATCACTGCACTTTAGCCTGGGTGACACAGCAAGACTCCTTCTCAGAAACAAAACAAAACTAAACTAAAATCTGTGTATATATTCTTAAAAAGTTAAAACAATGCGGAAATTTTTAAGTCCTCCATCCCCACGCCCAATTTCTATCTTCCAGGCATAACCAATAGCGGTGTTTAATTCTTTGTGATATTTTTGTATGGAAAATCCAACATAACACATTATAGATAAATAATTTTCTGTAACTTTCTTCTTTCTTTGGACATGTAATGTGGGACATGAAAAATTATGGGAGTTGGGATTGAAGTAGTGGGAGTGGAGTCAAGGGCAGGAAAGGAGAGGGACTTTAACTTTTTGTTTTGTTTTGAGACGAACTTTTGCTCTTGTTGCCTAGGCTGGAGTGCAATGGAGCGATCTCGGCTCACTGCAACCTCCGCACCCCCGGGTTTAAGTGATTCTCCTGCCTCAGCCCCTCCAGTAGCTGGGATTGCACCATGTCCGGCTAATTTTTGTATTTTTAGTAGAAATGGGGTTTCGCCACAGTTGGCGAGGCTGGTCTTGAACTCCTGACCTCAGGTGATCCACCCACCTTGGCCTCCCAAAGTGCTGTGATTACAGCAATGAGCCCCGTCTGATCTAACTTTTTACTTTCTTTCCTTTTATATCATTTCCATGCTTTTGTCAGCACTGTTTGGAGTTACAAAGGTAATAAAGATATTGAAACGAGAAATACTATCGAATCCTTAATGCCATGCTGTTCTTCTATTTAAAAAAAATTAAAAATTTAACCAAGTGCTGGACACCCTGCTGAGTGCCTTAGATATATTGTTGCAATGAATCCTTCTAACAACCCTACAATATGCAATACTATTAGTCTCACTTGAGAGTTGAGTAAACTTAGACCTAGAGAGACTGATCACACAGCTAGTGTGCAGTGAACCTGGATCTTTACACTGGGATGCCTCTTCTCCCTCTGATACTTACGGGCATCCTGCAAAACCCAGCTTCCATGATCTCATCTCGTGTGCATGTGTAGTTTTCCTTAATACACTCAGGCAGGAAGATGACCCTGTCCTCAAGGGACTTAGAGACCAGGGAGGAGACAGACAGCTAAACAATTACAATCTAGTGCCACGAGAAAACATATGGCTTAACAGGACTGTGTACAAGCAGAGGGAGCTTAGACCAGGCGTCCCCAAACTTTTTACACAGGGGGCCAGTTCACTGTCCCTCAGACCGCTGGAGGGCCGCCACATACTGTGTTCCTCTCACTGACCACCAATGAAAGAGGTGCCCCTTCCTGAAGTGCTGAGGTGGGCCGGATAAATGGCCTCAGGGGGCCGCATGCGGCCCTCGGGGCCGTAGTTTGGGGACACCTGGCTTAGACCATGTGTCTGAGGCAGCCAAGGATCTCCAGAGAATATACTCTGAGCTGATTGATAAGGATACCCACAATTTTTTCAGGAGGGTCAAGGAAGATGTGGGTGGTAAGAGGTGGGGAGAGGGTTCAGAAAGGGATTTGTGGCCTGGCATCTGCCTCAGCAGACTCAGGGCCACCACACATCTGGGCATACTCTGGAAACAACAGTTCTGTAGTTCTGTGTGGCTGGAGGGTCAAATTGGCCTGAAGGAGGGGCAAAGGGAAGGGCGTGCCCCTTGAAGCTTAAGGCCAAATCACCAAGGCGGTTTCAGTTGAAATTGGGGTTTTACACTTTATTCTGTGAATGAAACAGAGCTATTAAAATATTTGAGCCTGGTGTGTTAAAAGATGAAACGGGCCCCAAGGGGGATGTTGTGGGAGGTCCCTCCTCAATTTGTCCCAGCACTGAGTGGTCAGGTCGTTTCTGCCCCAGGCTAGGAATTGCCTTAAGGCAAGGGCATTGTCTCATTTGCCAGTGAATCCCAGTACCGGACACTGCACCCAGTATACAGCAGGTACTCAGTAGGGACTGAACCCGCCGGCAGAATGCTGGGCAGCCAGTGACTGTAGGTTAGAAAGTGAACCTTTATTTCTGCCCCAGCGCCTCCCCTGGCACAGAACTGGTAGGTGTTCAGCCAAAGTCTGACCCAACCATAAGGAGGTCAGAGAGGTCCTGGGCCCAAACTCAATCCCAGGGAGGTTCATTATGGGCGTGTGAAGGTGATTGTAGCAGCTTCTGTTCAATGACTGCCATGTGCCAGGAGAATTCACACCTATTGTCTTATGCCATCTCCCCAACAGCTCCTAAATTGGAATTATTGACCTAGTTTCCCTGATGGGGAAACTGAGGCTCAGAGTGGTTCTGTAACTTGGCCAAGGTCACGCAGCTAGCAAATAGGTGGGCAGAGGCACGAATCAAAGCCCACTGGCCTGCCTTTCCACCTCGAGAGGCAGTGAGGCGCCTACTCCGTTTGTGTAGCTGCTGGGGTTGGAGAGCATTCTGCATTGGGGTGCGGGTCCCGAGGCGGGCGGCTCGCAGCCGCTCCCAGGTTCGGAAGTTACGAAGTTTCCGTGCATTTCGCTAGCCTCCCCGCGCAGCTCGTCTACGCTCCGCCGCAATTACGCCGCTAGCGCAGCTGGGCTCAGGTGCTGCAGCGGGAGGGGGCCCGGCGCCGGGAGGAAGGCGGGGACGCAGTTTACGTAAGCGTCCGCTCGCAGGTGCATGCGGCCGCTGGCCGCGAGTGCTCCCTGCGCGCTCCCAGGTGCGCAGTTGGCGCAGTCGGCGGCGCGGCACGGCGGCGGCGGGCGCTGGCTGGAGCTCTCAGGTGCGGCAGGGCGCGCGTGGAGGGGGAGCGCGGCGAACGAGGGGGCGGGGTTTCCGTTCCCCAGCAGCCGCGGGGCCCGCCCCCCAGCCCTGCCAATGGGCGCGCTCGGCGGTGTCACGTGCTCGTCGCCGCCGCTGCCGCCGCCGAAGCGGAGACCGGAGCCGCGAGCGCCACCAGGGCAGCAGCCGCCGCAGCCGCCGCCGCTGGGCTGAGGAGCCAGGGACGCGAGCGGGCGAGGTGGCGGCGGCGGCGGAGCGGGAGCGGGTACCGGGCGCGGGCAGAGCGCGGCGGCGCGGGTAGGCTCCGGCGGCGGGGCGGGCGCCTGCGCGGCGGGCCGTCCCGGGCGGGCGGCGGTTAAGGCGGCGGTTGAGGCGGTTGGCGGAGCCGGCCCGGGCCCCGCATTGTTTGTTGTGCGTCCTTAGCAGCGGCGGCGGCGGCGGTGGCGGCCGAGGCGGAGAGCGGGGAGCAATCCCGGCCCCGCGGCTCCGGCATTGTGGCCGCGGCCGCCGCCGCTGCGGTGCCCCGGCCGCTTCGGGTAAGGGCAGCGGGCAGCCTTCCTCACCTTCGCGGGGACGGGGTCCCGGCCGAGCAGGGGAGGGCGTGGGCAGGGCGGGGGGACGCGGCGCCGGGAGGTCTGCCGGGACGGAGGGCTCGGGGCTCGGGGCAGGTGTTGGAGGACATCGAGGGAAGGAGCTGCGGGAGAGGCTTCGGGGGCAGGCGGAGGATGTGGGCACATTTGGGGGTAAATAGGGGTGCAGAGGGATCCGGCCCAATGGAGGAAGACAGCCTTTGGGCAGGTTTGGGGGGCCCCCCTGGGCCAGGCGCGTGCGAGATGGAGGACGTTCCGGCCGGTGGGGGGGCACTATAGTGTGGAGTTCAAGAGGGAGTGAGGGGGTCTTCGGGGAGGGCACGGGCGAGTGGGTGGGAATGGAGGGAGAAGACTGGGGACTCGAGCCGGACTGGAAGGAGCGCTGCGTACCAGGGGCAGGAAGTGGGGCGGGTGTTGGGAAGGCCACCGGGACGCCCGTGAAGGGGGACGATGGAGGAGAGGGGGTCGGGGCAGGGGGAAGTGAGGGCCGGCAGGGAGCGCCTGAAAGGGAGAGAGGGGAGCAGGGTGCCTAGGTGTCTGGGCTGGTAGGGAAAATGAAGGGTAGGCCTGGGGGCTCCAGAAGACCTGCGAGGGGTGTGAGGGAGTGTGTGTTCAGGTGTATAGGGGAGACCGCAGGGAGGGAGGAGGGGGTTGACAGGTGAGGGTAAAAAGGCAGGTATCTGGTGCTCAGGGAAGAGGAGTATGGGGTGCAAGGGGGAAGTTGATGGGGGCAGAGACTGAGTTTGAGGGCTTAGAGAGAGGTGGGGATAGCAGCCGAAGGATGTTGGTGATGAAGAGCTGGAGGTGTGTGGGGCATTTAAGGGGTAGCGGTAGAAGTGAGTGAAATGGAGGATTTTCATGCAGTCAGTATGGAAGAAGGTGGGAGCAGCCAGAGAGCGAACTTTGGGGTAGAACGGAGGGTCAGGGGCTCTTGGCAAGTGTTGGAGGACATTAGGGGCAGGATCTGGGGGAGAGGGACAGGTGTGTGGGGTGCCGTGGAGTGTGTGTCAGGTAGAGGGCAAAAGGGGGTGGGGAAAGGGAAATGTTCTTGTAGTGGTAGGTAAAGTGTGGGGACAAATGGAAAGATTTCTGAGGCAGGAAATGTGGAGAGGTTGGGGAGGAGGAAGGTGGAGGGGACTCTGTGAGAAGGAAATCAGTAGAAGGGAACAACGGGATAGACTGGAGGGGAAGGTGGACGGGTCTGGAGTACAGTAGGTGGAGGGAGGGAAGCACAGGTTTGGGGCACTGAATTTTGTGCTATAGTGAGAAGGGAGGTAGAGAGAAAGAAGGAAAGTAGACAGACTATTTTGGGGTAGAGGATGTAGAAGAATGCTTAGTACCTATAGTGGAGTAAGAGAAGGGCGAGGTAGGGATGTATGTGGACATGTCTGTAACTAGAAAGACACAGGTGCTGGATTCGAATGGTGTGGTGGTAGTGGTGGGAAGTAGGATACCCAGGTTTAGGGCAGGAAATGACTGTTTAAGTTGAAGAGAGCCAGGAAGACAGGTTGCCTAAGAGAGTATGGAAGATCCAAGGGGTGGGAGTCTGGGGAGAGAATGGAACACTTGAGTATTAAGAGATGAAAGGGGCCAAAATTTTTAGGTCACTGAAAGTATAAGGAAGGGCAGGCAGAGTGCAGAAGTTGGAAAAATAAATGGAAAGGATTAAATTCCATGCTAAGAGAAAATGGAGATTGAGGGGTGAGGTGGGGGAACCTGGATCCTGGGATGATGTTGATGGAAAATTGAGGACATTAAACCCAGTGTCGTATCTGAAAGCTCATACTCCTAGGGTCAGAGAGAACATCGAGCCTGCTTATAATTTCAGAACCCAGTAAATAAGGAAGCGGGGAGGGGGAAGGAGGAATGAGTGCACATGCCCAAATTTGGAAGAGGTGTGTGGTGGGTATCATCCTAGCTTATTGGTTTGATGAGTGGACAGAAGAGCTCCACAGGGTCGTGAGGAGTGCACCGAGAGTGAATGGAAATGGGTTTGCAGCAGGTGCAGGGCAGATGTCTTTGTGAAACTGCAAGAGAGCAGGCCCAGCAGCCAGTAGCATTCAAGGGCTATGTATAAGAGAGGGAGAAAGGGATACCTTGGTGCAATGTCTCAGATACCCTGGTGCTTTCTGGGTAATGGGCCTGTATTCAGGCATGGGGTGATGTAATATCTGAGTCCCATGCTACCAGCAGACGGAAGTAATGCCCACCTAGCTCCTAAAAGTGGCAGAATTGGAGCTTTTTGACTCTTAACACTGTTTAAAGGCATGAATAACTGATTCTGGATTGTTGACTTTTTCTCCTGAATAGTTCAAGTAAAATTTAGTTGGAGGCTTTGGATTCTTGATTTGAGTTGGGGAGTGTAATGTTAGCTTTATTGAGGAAAGACACTTACGGGGTTGGGCGGACATATGGCCTTCAGCTTGCCAAACACATGGGAAGTAACCTTTAGGGGTTTGAACACAGACATTGATTTCAGTGCAAGTCTCATTCAGTGTTCTGTGGCTGGTGTTAGATTCTTTGGGATTTGAAAGGATTAAGCAAACTACTTTGAGACTGCTTCAGTAAGCAAGGTTTCCTAGAATCCTGGAAAACAGCTTCCCTTTTGACAGTTGAAAATTAAGTCTTACAGATTTTGCTAAAAAATAAATTTCATTGTGTTGCAGAAATAACTTCAGTTATCGCTCCGTGGGCTTCACGTAACCTGTAGTGTGGTTATCTAGTAGATTCAAATCAAAGGTCCTCTTTGGTAGCTCGGGAGCTTTCTGGGTTGGTTAGTTTTTCTTTTGTCAATTTAGGAAGTATCTTTGGCCATTGTATGTTCAAATAATAAGTTTGAGTGGAAGTGGGAATCTTGCCTAAACATAATGAGGGTGGAGCAGAACACCAAACGTTAATCAGAATCTGTAAATATAAATTTTTTTTTTTTTTTTTTTTTTTTTTTTTTTGAGACAGAGTTTCGCTCTTGTTACCCAGGCTGGAGTGCAATGGCGTAATCTCAGCTCACCGCAACCTCTGCCCCCTGGGTTCAGGCAATTCTCCTGCCTCAGCCTCCTGAGTAGCTGGGATTACAGGCATGCACCCCCATGCCCAGCTAATTTTTTTGGATTTTTAGTAGAGACGGGGTTTCACCATGTTGACCAGGATGGTCTCGATCTCTTGACCTCGTGATCCACCCACCTTGGCCTCCCAAAGTGCTGGGATTACAGGCTTGAGCCACTGCACCCGGCCAAATATAAATGTTTAAAAAAAACTGGAAGCTAATGATTTGTAAAATGCAAATTTGAGGTGTGTCATGGCAGCAAAATAATGCTCTGAAGGCATTGCTGTAAGATTTTATTTTTGGAGGGAAAGATTGTTAAAGTATAATATGCCTTCAACTGAAACTCTTCTAGTATTTTGAGATTTGATGTATGTATGCAATGTAATTATTGGGAGCATGTCTGATCTCATTTGCTTTTTGGCAGAGAATTTGAGCAATAGGATATAAGATGAATAGAGTGAACTTTGAAAATTCTCTCCAACATAGCCATTGTTTCTTCCTTTTATTTTTTAAGTCCATTGTGTGAGTTTATGTTACTGACTTGGGGTGCCCAGTACTTTCTTGCTCAGAATACTCAATTCTAGCAAAGTGTTACATATATTTGTTCTGTGAAGATCTATGAGTTGGGATGATTTGTAGGCACTTTGGATATCCTAAGTTTATGAACCAAGAAAAGCAGGTTATATAGGCTTTGTAGGCTAAATAATTGGGTTCTGGTTTTGTTTTCACTGGTGACTAGCTGGACAAGATATTTAATCCCTTTGTGCTGGTTTCTTCTCCAGAAACCTGACTCTATCCATCTCCCATGAGAATCAAGATGGCTTATATAAAACAAGTTTAAGTCTTTTGAGAAGACTAGAATTACGTAAATATGGGGATAGATGTTATTTCTTTAGTTCCTTTTTTCTCCCCTGTGGTTTTTAGACTGGTCAACTATTAATTAGTACTTCATAATTTGCCATTAGGTGGATTAATTTGTTGTGAGAAAGTTGAATAGAGATGAAACTTACGTGAATATCAGAGATGTCTGCAAATTGAAATTTGTTCATTCTTTGCTCTCTGCTTACCTTTCCCATTTCTCAGCTAAGTGTTAGTGCTGATTTGAATTCTTCAGCCTGAGCAGAAGCTTGTGAGAGACACTGGGTTCTAGCTATAGCCCAAGATTGTTTCTAAGCAGGAATTTCCAGAGACAGAGTACTTCTTTGGCTCAGTGAATTCAATTCTTATATCAGAAATAATAAAGATAATACATTTTCGTATTTATTTTGCAGAAAATGGATTACTGTCTGAGTGGCTGGAACAGAAAAATAGAGCTATCCTGTTTGCTAGTGACATCAAGCTTTCCTTGTTCTGATTTGTTGAATACTTTTTCAAGTTTTAGTTATCAGATGATTACCTATCATTTGGTATTTCCATGTGCATTGACAGATTATGCTCTATTTGAGGGGGAATGATTTTTAAATGCTTTCTTAATGTTGTGTTTGGTTTATGAGTTGTAAAGAGCCTTCCAGATGCTGGTCATGATTGTCACAGCAAAAGGTAAATAGCAAATTGCCTTTTTTTTTTTTTTTTGAAGAGACAAGGTCTTCTTGCTCTGTGGCCCAGGCTGGAGTGCAGTGGTGTTGTCATAGCTCATTGTAACCTGGAACTCCTGAGCTCAGGTG